CCAACTCATTTTTACATGTAATGGCTGCTCCTCCTGAGGTTACAGAAAGAAAAAAATGTATCATATATACTTGATGAACATCCAAAAGATGCAACTGATTAAGGAAAATTTTATTATTTTATTGTATAAAGATTCATTTCGGAAACAGTCTCTCTGTGCTTTCGTACAGGGGTAAAACTGCGTACATCCGACCTCCCCTTACCCCACCGTAGGTGGGAGCCTTTGCGGCATTGGGGTAATGATGATGATGATTGTATAAAGATTCATACAGAGCCCCATACAGGAGTAAATCATTGGCAAAGTGTAATAATAGGAGCGTCTATGTTTTTCCAATTTTCCCTAAAGAGAGGTAATATGGTCGTTCTTGAGATGTCCGAAATTTCTATGCCTAAAATTCCCCAAGGACAACGTTTATATTTAAGAAAAAATGACCAGCTACATCTTATCACAAAACCCTCCCATTATATCGACCATGTCTCATTTGCTTTCATAAAACCGTTAATTTTGTGAGGTTAATTCACATTTCCATCAATGATTGCATAATTTTAATTTCGACTATTTAGTTTTTGTTCTTGACAGAAATAAGAAAGAACATGTTACAATGATAATAGTGTTAGGATGCCGTCGAACTGTAGATCAGAATGGCATCAATCAATGTATCAGTGATGGAAGTATTAGAATTCCAAGCCAGAAATTGGGTTTCTACACTAGACTCGCAGAGTTTAAAGACGAGTGACTTTTATAATAAAGAGGTCATTTTGAGTACATACACGAGTGACTTTTATAGAAGTAATATTCAGGTTGTAGGGATTGGTGACTCAGAACTGAGCTTATATACACATTATAGAAATTGCTCAATGTGGGACTAAAAGATACACAAAGTTCTAAAATAGTAGCAAGTATGTTTTCTTCCCTAAATAGGACTTATTAAGTCCTATTAAAAGAATTAGTTGATTAAAACTTCCCAAAATAGGAGTGAATGAGTCCTATTTTGTGAATAAAACAATGATAGTCCAATTTATGAACTCTATCCTTATTTTAGTCTTATTTAGGGAATTTCTTCTATATATTACCATGTGTGGTAGATATGTCATTTTTATCTAAATAGGATTTAGTTATAAATGGCATGACAATGACATTTATGTGTTGCGTAATTCAACTTATATTACGATATGTATATGATCAGAACAGTTTATGCAACCCAACTTAGAATATGTTTAGGACACGAGAAAGTGATGCACTTGATATTGAATTTGTAAAGTATGGAATGAATCTGAACCACACCAAAACTACCAAATATGATGTGAGACAACTTAGTAGGACGGACAAAAAAGAAAGATGAAACAAAGCTAGCAGCACAGAGAAAGTACATTATCATGTAAGTTGATAACAAACTAGATGAGTAGAGTGACACACGAATGGAAAATTGGGACATTATCATGACAATAAAGTAAATATCGATGATGGCAGTAGTAGGATGCCAAATTTGGTATTGGTGTCTCACAAATAAGCTTATGTATTGCCATGTAAATTCATACCATTTTTATCTACATGGTTTAGTTACAAATGTCATGATAATGACGCTTATCCATATTCATCAAAATAATCTTCTGTGAGGTCATATTTTTCTGTGGTTATAGGCAACTAAAAAAGCTTCTGTTTCAACTGCAGTATTATTGCCAATTCAGCTAGTTTTGATCCAAAGAAACGCAATTTTTTTCTACTAATATCAATACTTCACTTCTAGGAAATTAACTCATTGATCAAGTGAAAAGTCAACATTTTGTAAAGCATAACATATCCTTTGAATTTGCCCAATGTTAGATCGGGCAAGTAGAACGAGGGATGTTACTTCAGTCGAATGAATTTGAAAACATAGAAACAGCTATAAATATAGTCAGAAATTTGGAGATAATCAATTGTGTAAAGAATCCCAACCGAGTTTGACTATGCAGCGAATGGGTTTGGAATTGTGCTGCTCCATATTGGACCTGTGCTAAGACTATTGAGGTTAGCTGCGAGCTGCTTCAAACTTTCACAGCGCTTCTGAGCTTCACCTGATCGACCAGATGAGAAAATGGGGGTGGATTAAAGACAAACAAAATATACTGACTCACCCAGACTAGTGTTGGACCAGGTTCGGGCCGCCCGACCCGGGAACCGGCCCGGCCCACTAGTGTGTGGGCCCGTCCTGTCCCGGTGTACCGGTTTTGGTTCCGGGCCTAGGCCCGGTCCCGGGGGTTAGGGTGGGGCGGTCCCGGTTCACCCCCTTCTTTGAAACCGGCCCGGGCGGGCCCGGTTCGGGCCTTCTTTTTTTTGGGGTTTTTTCATTGTTTTGGGCTTTTTCCTGAGTTGGGCTGGGTGTTTTGGGAGAGTTTGGGGGGTGGGGGTCGGGGGTTAATAAGAAAAGAAATAAAATACATGGATCCGGACCCGACCCGTACACGGTGGTAACCCGGGCTGGTCCTTCTACCAAAAATCAAAAGCCCGGACGGGCCTAGGCCTGACCCGGACCCGACCCGGCCCGAGTCCATGACTAACCCAGAAACGACCCAGCAGATGCTATCTTCCTGATTCTATTTCCTCATTCCCTCAAAAATAAAAAAGATTTTATTTTATTTTTAGGGATATCCTTAAATAAGGTACATGTTCCACAAATTAGATACATGTTCCTTAAAGTCAATCAATTAAAATACTGTATTCTATAATAAAAATTAATCCATTAAAAAGGATATGTGAAGAATTTAAAGAAAAAATCTATTTTTAAAAAATGTCCGCCATTCAAACTGAAATTTAAACATGAAGAAAAGAATATTACTCCCTCTGTTCCGAAATAAACGTCCTGATTTGACTTTCACACAGATTAAGAAAATGAATTTGAATGCACACTGTTTGGCACTGTAGCGACACTGTTTGGCATTGTAGCTACACAGTTTGACACTGTTTTGCACTGTTCGACACTGTTTGGTATAGATTTGTTTACCAAATAAGGAAGTTAAAGAAGTGAGACATTTATTTTGGGACGGACAGAAAAGGAAAACAAAATATTTATTTCGGGACGGAGGGAGTATATTATTAGTTGCTCGTATTAGAAAGGCTCTAGTTTTTCTATTTCACATTATCATCAGTTTTTATGATCTCTTGCTCCTTCAGTCCCACTAAACTTTTAGTATTTTGTACAAATTTTAATTATGTAATTTTTACTATTTTTCATCTTATGTTAGAGTTGGTCAAATTGGGTAAAGTTCTAAAAACCGGTCAAAGTCAGGAAGTGTTTCCATTGTTTTAAAAAAAGTATATTTCTAGCTTTAAAAATATAAAAAAGTTACAGAATCATTTCCAAAACCACTTCTTTTATCAAGTTAACTAGTTAAGTACTTAGAAGTTTAACACCTAGAAGCGGGTGAATTGATGCTTTTAAGTATTTTTTTCACTATTTAAATTACATAAAAACATTTCTTTTGTCAAATACTCTAACTTTTACTTTTTCAAACTCATTTTAATTTCTTTCTCAACTACTACCAACACAACACAAACACCATATGGTCCATATAAAATCGGGAAAAGGAGTAAATAAGCCCTCGAACTAACCAAAAAAAGTGCAAATCACCCCTTATACAGGAGGCTCTGTCCGGACGTCGTCATTTGGGGAGGTTCCAAGTGGAATTTTTTGATGATTTTTTTTAGAATCTTCTTCATTAAGTCTAATTTAGCCATACCAAAAATCAGATAAAAATTCAATCGGGAAGGCAGTCAAATAAATTTTTGAAGGTAACTGCTCAGTTAAACAACGCAGTATATTTCAGAAAATCATTTGACTACCTTCCCGGTTTTATTTTTAGTTGAAATTTCGTATGGGTAAACTAGACATAATGAAGAAAATGCTCAAAAACTTTCATAAAAAAATTCCACCGGGAACCGCCTCAAATGGCGACGGTTGGACAGAACCTCCTATATATAGGGTGATTTGCACTTTTTTGGTTAATTCAAGGACTTATTTGCCCCTTTTCCCTATAAAATCCGGTTACTTATAGTTCGTTGCATCATTATAATGACTTTTATGGGACTCATTGTAGTTTTATTTGCCACTAACAAAAGAAATTAAATAAAAAACTAAAGAAAAAGCTAGTGTCTCACTAATGAAGATTTTGGACTTGTTATCAAGAGTTAGTGATGCAATATGATTACCATTTTATTTCATTTATTGATTTTATTGTGGTTTAACACATATGATGTTTTTATTAATTTAGACCTATTTTATTCTCAAGTCAAACAAGACTTAAGTAGACCTGACCTCAACAGTTGTAAAATACAAGAGAACAAATATAGACCAGTTTAGACTATATCAGACCAGATTAGATAGTCCCAGTCCAAGTAGAAACATCCTCGAGATTATAACTTGAAATCTTAATGTTATTTTGAGTTCTTCATCCCATTCTCACGTTCTTAAAGTTTAATGCGACTACATTGGAGCTTTACTTTTAAATGTATCAATGTTATTTATAATTGGGTGATATAAATTCGGATTTGGCATGAACTTTTTCTTATTTTATTCGGAGTTTTTAACTTTAAAATCTTCATGCGATGAAAATTGGAGTAAAGGGTCAGTTTGGTCCTCGAAGTTGCAAAAAAGACGTCAAATAAGTCCTTATATAGAAGATTCTGTCCGGACGTGCCATTTGAGGTGGCTCCCGGTGAAATTTTGTGATAAATTTTTTTGAGCATCTTATTCATTAAGTCTAGTTTACTCATACCAAATTTCAGCTAAAAATTCGGTATCTTAACGACACAGTTATCTTCAAGAATTTATTTGAATGTCTTCCCGATTGAATTTTTATCTGAAATTTGGTATGAGTAAACTAGACTTAATGAATAAGATACTCAAAAATTTCATCAAAAAATTCCACCGGGAGCCACCTCAAATGGAACGTCCGGACAGAATCTTCTATAAGGACTTATTTGACCCCTTTTTTGCAACTTCGAGGACAAAACTGACCCTTATCCCGATGAAAATTGATTCGATGAAAATAATGTATTTTCTAGCACAACATAGTACAATAGCGTTTCAAGTTTTTAACCATTGCGCTTAAAAGATGGAATTACCCACTGGCGCCACACACCCTGGCTCGAAAAAATTGTGAGATTTCAACATTTATTACATAGCTCGACAGTTTTCACTCCCACTCACGTCATTATCGAATAGGAGTATAGGACTAATTAAACAAAATGTGACCAATATAATTATACAATTATTTTATTAATCACCTCCTGGGGGCTCCTCCAATGAATTTATAGTGGGTTGATAACAATATAATGCAACTATTAATAACCTTGTTTACCCCCAATTAACTATATATATACGGGTGCAAATAGAGGTATCTGGCCATTATTTACAAAATCTATTCTGTTCAGTCGAATGTTGCACAATACTTTCTCAGGCAGCTCCTCTGGCTTCTGTGCCTATAATTTCCAGGGAAATAATAAAAACTGTCAAGTTTTCAGCTCTCATAATAACTTTATGGAACAAAAACTGTTAATCCCAAATATAAAAGTGAGTCATGCTGTTATAAGTTCTTGAATTAGAGAATTCAGGATTATTTTGCTGAGTCGTGTATTGTTATAAGATCTTGAATTACATAAACTGTATGATTATATTTAATATTATAGCATAGTATAGTATTAGCATGTGCATTAGGTAGAACTCTGGATTGGATATGGTCACTCAACTAGAAGATTGAATGTACTAGACTGGCATCTTATTGAGATGTGAGTCTAGTCCATTACGGATGAGTTGAGCGGCTTTAACGCAATTTTGAGTTCTATTAATAACCAAGAATTGGTAAGCTGTATTTGACAATGAGCATTTACAAGCGAAAAGCAATCATACCTGGATGGTAAGCCCAAGATCAAGTACCCCATGTCTCAACCGCTCCCGAAATGCATCAAGTCCTTTCCTAGAAATGTAGCTGAACCGATGAACGTCTATGTCGATTTCCAAGTAATTCGGACCCTGAAAGTCATTTATATTTTAGATGCATCTCTTAGTGTTACAAAAGAATGTTAGCAAACAGTGCTTCGAGTAAGTTGACGTTGCGATATAATGTACTATGTACCTTATAGAAAGCATGTTGAGGTCGCGTAAGTACGGGCTTATTGTTGTAAGCATGCACAAGTTTCTTTTCTGCAGTGCTTAGGCGGAGCTCTTCATGATTAACCACACTAACCAAAAATTTTAGTCTCTCTCGGTAAGACACTGATGAATCTTTTGCAAATCCCTTGACGGTTTCCATCTCATCTGTCACAAGTCTCTGCAGAAAACAAAAAAAAAACTCTTGAACATTGAATAAAACATTTATTTTCTCGCATTTTTTATGATCGAAATACGAGGAAGCTGGCTATGCCACTATTAGTTTATATTGCTATGCTTTTCCGATGTGGAATTATAACATTGAATAAAACAAATTAAGTATGAGCAGCAAGGCAAGAGCCAATGCCAGTGCAAATAAGTCATATAGTAGAACCTTTATGCTGTCTTGAAACTGCATCGAAATCTCTTCATCGAAAGTCTCTGAAATCCGGAAATACAAGACGAGGCTTAATCCTTCTCCATCACCATCTCCCACGAACAAGGAAGCAGGATATGTAGGTATCTGTCAAATTTTAAGACACAGTTTCTCCAATTAAATCAATTGAGTAGGCCAGATAAATTATGTGTGTAAGTATCAAGCAATCGATTTAAGCTTTTTAGGTGAGACAGATCACATATTTAGCTCTGGTTTTATAGATTTTATGAGTATACCTGTATATTAATGACAAGAAAAGATGGAACTTTATCGTGTGGATCTACACTAGGAAGTTGAAGATGTTGAGCAATGTGAGATATCTTCTGGGAGCAAGCAAATAGATCAACACCAAAAGGGACATAAGGACAATAGTTTGGTGCAACCCCTTTCCTTTTATCTCTAAACCAAAAAAGAAGAATTGTAAGCTAAAAATAGTCTATTTATCGACAATTCGTTTTAAGAATGATATAATTAGCAACATGCCTGAAGTAACTCTCTCCCCGAAGTTTAAAGACAGACGGCGATATTGGAAGCCAACACCCTTGAGTTGCTTTCTCACCATCCTTAGAGCACGCAATGATCTGTCCCGCTCTACGACGACACTTAAATCTTTTAGGTGTACCTGCTTTTGAATTCCATGCTCAGTTAGAATCTGTTTGGAACCCATAATATACAAGCAAAGAAAATAGGAGGGAAATAGAGAGGAAAATGGTAAGGAAACAAAATGGGGGAAATGAAGTACTAATCAAACTCAATAATGTATTTAAGATACTTGTTTGAACTCATTTCACTTCATTAATTTATTTCTATTATTTTACTCATTATATAAACACTAACAAAAAAGTAATTTACCCCAGAACTTTACTCATTTGACTTGATTAATATAGCCATTGACCGAGGTAAAACCAAACATAAGATCTAAGGTAATTTTCCCAAGAACATTTTCCCTTAGCATGATCTATGATCCAAACATACACTTAGCGTTTCTAAACACAAATCCATACCAACTTCAAGTGTGTGTGTGTGCATATATACAAATTCCACTGAACAAAAACTTACAAAGCTCAGGAAATCTGTCTCCTTCATTCAAAGGGGCTGCTTGGTTTGGCACTATGCTCCCGGCTGTGTTGCCCGATGATGGACAAAATTCTGATAAAAATACCAAATCAGAAAAGAAAAACTACTCCGTACTAAAACATACTCCGTATTATCATTTGTTAAAAACTAAAAAGAATAAAAGCTTGGATATATTTCTATCATAATCGTGAATGCTCAAGTAGTAGCGACGGGTGTGCTACATGTTCATTCTTTCATGTTTAGTCAATGTGAGATAACTCATTGATCAGCATCATTATACTGCTATTGGTAAACAAACACCAGTATGGGTATACAAATAGTTACTAATAATTACCTCCATGAACACTGCTATAGTCTTCATCAGAATCAGAATCAAGGACACTATTTGATTCAAACCAGTCTTCATCTTGACATAGCCCTGCAATTAAGACTTGAGTTACTATTACCCATATAATAATAGTAATGGTAATAGGAATGCAATGACAAAATAGTAATTTATTTACATATATACCACTTTCAACTTGTTGGCTAGGAATGTTATGAAAACTAGCTCTCCCCCTCCATTCTTCATCATTTTCTGGTGAAACAAGCACATCATTTGCCTCAAAATCTCTCAGAAAATCAGCACCATAGGAAAACTGTTCTATTGGTGCAACAGAAACGCCACAAGGCCGTCTCCTCTTCCGGCGAAGCCCGTGACACTTCGGGAGGGCCAATCTTTGCGATTTTATCGTGTCAGTCGGGATAGAAACACAGCCACCCATATTTTCAGCAAACAAAATTCCTTCCTGATGTTGCAAAGACTGTTAGATCCCAAAACACTACCTACTGCAGGCACAGCACAGCATTTGGAAATAAAAAAAAAAGTGAATGATTCTTTGACCAAAAATAGTTTCTTTAATTCATTTATTTGACTTCTTTATGGATATTTCCGGCAAATAAGCCAATTCAGTAACAACCATAGAAAATTAAGCTGGTTCAACCAACTTTTTACAGATGGAACCATCATAAAACATGAAAACAATTCATCAAACAGTACAAACACCAAAACCAAAAGCAATCTTAACACATACTCAAAGAAAAACCAAAACCAACAACAATGATGATAGTATCTCAACTAACCTAGAACTCCATCCCCTATCAAAGAATCTGATTCAAACCCAGATAACCCTTTGTGGAATTGTGGGGCCTCAGCTGGTTATAGGGGAATTTTTTGTATGGGAATGCCAACTACGGAGTACAAAGAAGGCAATCCGAGAGGGTAAAATAAGGGAAGTTAAGGAGTCGTTTTTACCATGCAGTAACAAGATAAAAGTCAAGGTCAACCCATAATCAATGGGAGCAATTCCCGATACACTGAACAGAGGTAAAAACTTAAACAGCTGCAACCAAACTCAGACTACCTAATAAAAAGAATTAATTGCAGAAAATGACAGAACACCATCAAATGCGGGAGAATTTAAACCATCAACCTGGATGGTCTGAGGCATTTATCATTCATCTGATGATATTTTTAGTTACTGAGAAAAATTAATCAAATCCCATAAATAATTTACCCGTACAAAGAAGGAAATGAAGAAGAGTACTGGACCAAGCTGATAGAGCTGGAGACTGTTGGATGGTTCTGAGCTATTTTGTCTCCTTTTTCTGTGGGCGTGCGAAATCACAGAGTCCAGCCTAACAATCGTAATATATATACGGAGTACATGATAGTAGTAATAATAATTATACGTAGCATGTATAAATAATTATAGCACGCTCATAAAATACACCAATCTAGTGTCTCCGTATCATTTAATAAGAGATGAGCTGATGTGGCGAGCTAATGTACATACAATATACGTGTATCAGTGTATGGCTTGCTTGAGATATTGTTCTTTTTTCTGGTAGTCAACAACAGGTCAACAAAATGTGTCAAAAACAAACTCAAATTTCAGTTCATGCAATTCTTTGTTTAAATTAGTCTTAATTTATTAATTCAATATCAAATACATACAGGGCATACGATAAAAAAACTACATACAGGCCGGGCATAACTAGGGGAGCCAACCTGTACTAGTCCAGTGGCCCAACCTCGTCCCCGATTACATAAACTTATTTTTCTAAATAATGATGTCACTTCCTCATATATCTCGATATTAGTAAGAAGGAAGTAGGATATTTATTTCAAATGCAAATCTAAATGCAAATGCAAATGAAAATGCATATAGATATATAAATATAAATGTAGACGTAAACATAAATATAGACAAAGAGAGGAGTGATAAATACGTAGTACGTAGTATGAGTTTGCAATAGACAAAAAAATATCATAAATTTTAATCTCTAAAAAATGGTTAATCTGAAAACATCAAAACACCTCTAACATGAATAGAGTATAACATTTTTAACTCCTAACTAATTTGTACTCGTATTTCACTAGTCATTACAAATGGTCCAAGTGCTTATATTGCTTATATTTATAAATTAAAGTGGAGTACTGGAAATAGTATACGTAAACTAGTTTATTTAGCTCTCTTTCAGTTCCAGTCTTCCAGATAATTAACATTTTATCCATTCTTAAGTAAACTTTACTCGGAACAAGGCAGGAAGATGAATTTAGTTTTGACTTATATTGCAGTAGCTCATCCTCATTCAAATCGCCCCCATAACATAGAGAGATTTGTGAAAAGATTTTATTTTGATATTGTTTTATATTTGTCAACACTTTTTTTTTTATAGTTCGATAGCAAAGTTTATTATTTTCATTTCGGTTCATATATACATATTACATTTTTTCTTTCGATTTCAAAGAGTCCATGGTGTATTTTATTTACAAAAAAAAACTATTTGTACCCACTATTGTACTCACCTCTATAACCACCATGTTTGTGAGCTATTTTTTTGTTTGTGAATCTCGGTCATAGATCAAATATATCTATAAAGACATGGTGAGTACAATGGTAAGTAGAAGAATATATTTATTTATTCATTTACTACGTATCTCTTTTACAAATTCTCATTACCCAATGCTCACTTTTATTTAAGGAAAATGCTAGGGATACACAAGTTGTACACAACTTGTACACACAATGTCGGTCACAGACAATTGGTACGGAGTTGCCTGTGACCACAGACAAGAGTTGTCTGTGTACACAGACAAATTTTGTCTGTTTCCACAGACATTTACTTTTTTTGTAAAAAGTACTTGTCAGTGTCAGACGGCTCTCAGTGTACTTTTTACAAAAAAGTAAATGTCTGTGGAAACAGACAAAATTTGTCTGTGTACACAGACAACTCTTGTCTGTGGTCACAGGCAACTCCGTACCAATTGTCTGTGACCGACATTGTGTGTACAAGTTGTGTACAACTTGTGTACCCTAGCATTTTCCTTTATTTAATGCCAATTAATAAGCTATGAAGCACGGATACTTCCCTAGGGTAGCGTATCGGCGTATCCGATACGTTCCCGTATCCGATACTCTAGGATACCCGTACCGTACGTTCCCGGGCCGTATCTGCAATTTTTAAAAGTTTCCATTTTTTTTTTGTAATTTTTTGAAAGTTTCCGATACTCGTATCCTGACGGATACCCGTATCAACTTTTTAAAAAAAAATCCCAAAATTTACTTAATAAAATTCTAAAAAAAATGAAAATCTAAAACTATATTTTACTTGGTAATCAAATAATGGGCCTATATGGCTATATCCGAATTAAGTCATTAACTCATACTCCGAATTGGGTAGTTTCACTTTTAATATCAAGATTGTAGTTGTTTGACTTATTTCTCATTTTAAATTAATGACTTATTGACTACATTTATATTTCGAGATACACTAGTATATATGAGAAATATTATGAATTTATTACTAAGTATCTTGAAAAAGGAAAATGTTTCAATGCAATGAATGGGTAGACATCATAGGATATTATATGTATGTGTATATATATATATATATATTCAAAAAAAATCTATTTTTAATATTTATAAATAGACCCCTATAACTTTTAATATTTGTAAATACATCCCCATAACTTTTAATATTTATAAATATGGCCCCGTATCCGTATCCTATTTTTTTTTTGTTTTGACGTATCCCCGTACCCGTTTCCGCGTTTCCGCGTACCGGTATCAGTGCTACATACTACCTCCGTAACGTAAATATCTTCTCACTTTCCTTTTTTGGACGTAACACTAATATCTTCCCATTTCTAAATCTTCCCATCATACCCTCAATAATTTTAAAAATAATACACTATTACACCTACTTTTTTGGATTTATCCTTCATTCCATCACATTATTTCACTATCTTCCCATCATACCCCTAATAATACATATCTCCTTTCACTATTCTTAATCTACCTACTTTTCAAATGGGAACATCCCAATCTTACGGAGGTAGTAGGTAATAAGGGACGATATAGGTGGAGTGTCATGTCTAGTCAAAGTAGATTGGACAAGTGTCTCTTTGAATGAGCCGTTGGGTCGCGATGGCTGCTTTACAAACAAACTAAAAAGGCGGGCCCATTTCCCCTCGAAAAAGATTAAACAAGCCCGACATCTCGCCGTTCAAAAGCCGTATGCCGCACGTGTCAGGCTGGATGGTTGATTATTGAGACTCCTTTTTACCCTCGCAAACCATATCCAATAACCCACCTACAGATTAACGTCGTGATTTTTCTTACCCCATCAAATTTCATGATTTGATCCAACTTTAGTTTTTCCCCGTATGATTTTGCTTTGATTTGATTTCAATTTTATGATATAGTATGGTCATCTGAATAGTTTCAATCAGATTTGAATAATGTTGATATACATTTATGATACAAACTAATTTTGTCGTTGGTGTGGCCTGAATAATGGTTAACTTCGTAAACTTATTTCAAAGTGCACTTTAGGTAGATTAAGAGCTCATTTGGTAGCACGAAAATCGATTATTTTGGATGATTCTACTGAAATTTATGAAGTTTTGGATGAAGTAGCTCCATTAGCTGATTCTGCAGATTTATAAAAAATTATTTTTAAAATATATTTTATTAACCAAATAAAAAAATATGTAAAACAAAAGCTAAAATGATCATTTACGCCAATGTAGCCAGAAAAGTAACTCCAACCATACATTTTCTGTTTATTACACAATTTAGCACGCGAAAGCAAAAATTATGTGTTTGATGAAAAAGATGGCTGATAAGTCTGATAAATCGAAAAACAATGTTGCGGACTCTAAATTGGTGTGTGTACGGTGTGTGTTTGGGGTAGGGACGTAGGGTTCATGCCGATCTACGCTAAATTTGTTAAAAAATTAATGCATGAACGAGCGTGAATCGTGAAAAAGGCATACGAAAATAGGTAATTAGTAGCTCAAACCAATATTTCCTCATGCCTAGCTACCTAAGAAATTTCAATTATATACAAATATTTTATCGAAAAAGTATTCAAAGACCTATTTTTCTTCATTTATTAGCATCAATAACTGATGATTTCGATTGCAAAAAAAAAAATCCATCAAATAAATACACGTTGCATGATAGTGTCTTGTAAGACTTGTTGTTTGGTAAGTTACCAGTTACCTTATGTGGACAAATAGTATTGTGACACATCATTCAATAATGCAAAGTGGAATTAATTATGTGGACATTAGTAATGTGACACATCATCCAATAATGTAAAGTAAGATTAATTATGTGGACAAATAGTAATGTGACACATCATTCAACAATGCAAAGTGAGATTAATTATGTGGACAAATAGTATTGTGACACAACAGTGCAAAATACTACGTACGTAGTTTGGTAAGTTAGCCTTATAACGGAAGAGTTAAAAGGGATCACTCTAATTTTCTAATTCATTTAGTGGGACAGCTTAAATCAACCATATGACATTTGAAATTAGATATACGGAGTATAATATTATATTCCGTAATTATGTAAGTGACACTTTTCCACAGTGTCTTATCAGTATTTAAAATATACGGAGTATGCTCTAATGCTCAGCATTCTACTTACTAAATACTCCGTATAATTTTATAATTTATCTAAATTTTATGGACACATTATTATTATTATAACCCCCATCAACCTTGGAAGTTCAAACACAATTTTATGAGTATTTAATAGTACATTCTCAGTGTGCTACTTAGTAATTTGTATAAACTTTCATCTGACCCCATGAAAAAAGATAAAGGGATCTAATTATCGTCACAATCAAAGTGATAACAATTCACAGAAGAGTCCTAAGCTATATGAACTACTTTATCAAGCTAGGCTTTTGGAACATTTATCTTGCGCTTGATTAAAAAATTGGCCGCCTTTCTTTATTTCACAATTTTTTGGAGTGTACTTTACTTAATTTTCCGCCTCCAATGAGTTCTTTTGGATGAAGGATACTCACTTTCAAGTGTACAACAGAAAAAGAGTTTTTGTTTTGAGAAATCAATTTGAAGTGGATTGTTACTTTGTTAGTATGTATTGGTGGGTAGGGGGCTAGTGGGGGTAGTGTTTTTAGTTGCACATGGAATCAAAAGGAGAAAGTAGTTGTATTGTTTTCCTTTTAGGCTGTTGAGGCACGAGGTTGTAGGACAAATTGGCAAATACGTATCATAACTTATGGTGTTGATTAGGAATATGTTTTTAAGAATAAGGAATTGCACTAATCTGAATTGCCCAAACT